CTCAGAGTCAAACAGTTGAAAAGTCAGGGTCAGGTACACAGTGGGGAGAATGGCAGGGTAGCTGCTTAATAGGTATGGGGTTTTATTTTGGTTAAACGAAAATACTTTGGAACTATAGAGGCTCATGTACAATACTGTGAATGTACTAAATGCACTTAAGAATTGTTTTATTTTTGATGGTGCCTCAACCCAAGTACCACTCCACTACTGAGGTACATGCCAGACCTGAATACTTACTCACTCACTCACTCTATTTATTTATTTATTTATGGCTACTAGGGATGGAACTCGGAGGCCCTCGACCACTGAGCCACATCCCCAGCCCTATTCTGTATTTTTTATTTAGAGACAGGGTTTCACTGAGTTGCTTAGCACCTTACTTTTGCTAAGGCTGGCTTTGAACTCTCATTCCTCCTGCCTCAGCCTCCAGAGTCACTGGGATTACAGGTGTGTGATACCATGCCCGGCTGAATATTTACTTTAAAATAGTTATTTTTTATTCAGGAAGTTGAGGCAGGAGGATGACAAGTTCAATGTCAGCCTAGGCAACTTGGGAAGACCCTGTCTCAATAAAAATAAAAAGGGCTAGGCATGTAGATCAGTGGTACAATGCCCCTGAGTTCAATCCTGAGTACTCCCTACCCCCCCAAAAAAGTTACTTTTGTTATATGTATTTCACCTCAGTTTTAAAAGGAGGCAGTGCATGGGTATGTAATGCTCAAAATTAAAAGAAAAAAAAATGGCCTCAACATATGAAGATATTCAATTTCATTCATGATAAGAGAAATGCAAATTAAAAAGTACAATGCCAAGTACAATTTCATACCCATTGGATTATCAAAAGTGTTTCTCAGCTGTAAGCAAAAAGGCACTTTTATACATTATTGATAGGATAGCAAAACAGTACCTCTCTTATAAGGAAATTCAGCACTAACTGTGGTAGACACTCTGAAGTGCTCTCCTAGTACTACCCACCTCCTGTTGTCCCACGCCTTTATGCATTTCCTTTCACACTGAGAGTGTGTGGGACCTGTGATTTGCTCTTACAACAGAATATGACAAAGGTAATGAGATACCACTACTTGGACTACTACACTGCATAGATTACCTAGCGCTTTCAAGATCTGAGATTCTCCTTGATGGCTTGCTGAAGTAAATAGCCATTGTGGGAAAAACCACAAGACAAGGGGACTATAGGTTGTCTCTAGGAGCTAAAACAGGCTTCTCGTTGACAGCTAGTCAGAAGTTAAGGTCCTCAATCCAAAAACCACAATAAACAAAATAAAACATGAGTGACCCTAGAAGATGTTTTTCCAGTCAAGCCTCAAAGTGAACTCACAGCCCCAGCAGACCTGTTGTAGTCTTGTAAGATTCTACACTGCAGACCCAATTAAGCCACATCCAGACTCCTAATCCCCCAAACTGTGAAAAACATGTGTGCCACTTTAAGAAGTTTCTGGTAATTTGTTCTGGTAATACATATTCAGAACACTACCCAAGCTACATATGCATTTATCTTTTGTTCAACAATTCTCACATCTAACAATTTAAACTAAAAATATACCTCTGGCCAGATAATCTCAGTGATTCAGGAGGTTGAAGCAGGAGGATCAAAGTCAGCCTCAGCAACTTAGCAAGGATCTAAGCCCCTAAGCAATTTAGTGAGATCCTGCCTCCAAAAAAATAAAATAAAAAGGGCTGGGGATGTAACTCAATGGTTAAGCACCCCTGGGTTCAATCTCTGATACCAAAAAAAAAAATAATATATATATATATATATATGTGTGTGTGTGTGTGTGTGTGTATGTATATATATATGTGTGTGTATGTATATATATGTATATACACATACATATATGAAACTATATATGCATAAGGTTATTAGTTGCAGCATTAATATTTGCAAGATATTGCCAACTACCTAAAAAACTAAATGTAACAGATTATTTGAATAAAGTATGATACATCTAAATGAAAGAGTACTCTGCAGCTACAAAGTAAAAAAAGTGAAGTGCAAAATAAATTATATAATACCTTTTATATATTCCAAAAGTAGATGGTTAAAATTATTTTTTTTTCCCAAAAGTAGCCTGCTTATTTTAGGGGGTGGGGGATGGGAATGGGGAAGCCAGGGGAGAAGCCAGACATTGATTACATAAATGGAATGTGAGGTGGTGAGATGGAGTATGGAAGGAAAAGGAAAGGAAATGACACTTCTGAGCATCACTTTTTGGTCAAGTCGCTTGTCTATGAATTGAAAACTAAAAAGAATCAATAAGAAAGAAAGACAACATCCCTAAAAGTAAACAAAAACAAATAAATCTTTAGGTACTGAATTTCAAATGAACAACATAACTGGGCTGAAAGTTGAAGGGAAGGCTAATTTGAGTTAAACTGTGAAGAATATTTTTACTATTTACCCTTAGTCTAGAAAAATAATTGCTAACAAATCCTAAATTCCTTTTAGTAGGTTTCTTTTTCACAACAGGCAAGATTACAGGAATCGTGAAAACACTTTGTGTATACTTCAGCAAATGAATGAATGTACTGATGTTGGAAGCTAGGATTCTCATTGTGGAAAAAGATAAACAATTAGAAAAGAGAGGGAGGCAAGGGGGAAGCCCCACTGAGTTTGGGAATGGCACTGGTTATCAGCATGATTTAATGTGCATGCATGAACGTGTGTGTTTAAATATGTGTTGATTTGTCTTCTGAAAGGCCCAGAAGCAAATGAAATCGTAGGAACAATGAACACACTGAGCGCGAGATTTTGGTTTCCATATACCATTTTCATTTTAAAAGGAACCAGGTCCTTGGAAGAATAGTCAATTCCATAAATGAAGTCAGGAAAAGTACAAGATGGGCCTGAAATCTTATTTTTACACACACACACACACACATCAAAAAAAAAAAAAAAAAAAGGAACAGGACAAAAAGAGAGGAACCAACTCAGAGGGATAAACCTGAGGCAATATGAACAACAAAAAATAAAAGTAATGGATTATAATCCATTGAATAAAATAGGGACCAAGAGTAGCTTGGGACCAAAAAATAGGGACCAAAAAAATAGCTAAACAGAAAGGCATGGGAGAAGGAAGGGCTCTTCCTTACAGTACAGTTATAAAATCGCAGCACAGTTTAGTCCATCAAGAATCAACAATGGAGGATAATTCTATGGAGGGAGAAAGCTTGAGAGGACACAGAATATTAATTGCATGGTCTAAAAGTGCCTTGCCAGAAATTGCTTATTAGCTGAGAGAAGAGAAATAATAACTGAGTAATACCTTTAGAGGGTAATCAATATTAAACATGTCAATGGGGTGGTGGGGAACAACACTAAACATATCAATGATGGATTGAAAGACACTGTATGTCTCTGAATGTGATATCTCTGACAAAAGCAAAATACAAAATAAAACATACAGCAAGCTATCTTTTGTGTTATTTCAAAAGGAAGCAATTAAAAATAACTTCCTTGTATTCTTCAAAAATGTCAATGTTTAAAAGTCAAAAAAGGCCAAGAACTGTTACAGATTAAAGACTAATACATTGAAAATGTGATGTAATACAATATTCTAGACTAGATTCTAGACCAGATGGAAAAACAAATATTATAAAGAACATTATTAGGGTAACCTATGAAATGTGAATAAACAGTTAAATTCCATAACAGTATATATGGTTAAATTTCCTTAATTTGATAACTAAGAAAGCATGCTTGTTCTTAGGAATAAACTCTCAAGTAAGCAATTAAAAAAAGCATGATGTATACAAACTAATCTCTCAAATGGTTTAATGTAGATGTATATGTGAGTTTAGACACACAAGACAGTAGAGGAAAGGAAGGAAGAAATGGAAATCATAAAACAATCTGCTAAAATGCTAAAAATGGATAGGTTTAGGTAAAGAGTATATGAAAATTCTCAGCACAATTCATGCAACTTAGCTGTAATTTTTACTTCAAAATAAAAAGCTAAAAAGAGAAAAAAGGCACATGTGTATATATGTGTGTGTGTGTATATATATATATATATATATATATCTGAAAGGATAAGATCAAGCTTAAAAGCTGTCACTCAATGAGGAGGGAAGGAGATGAGGAAGGAAGGAGATGAGGAAAAGGAGCTTCTCTACAAAGATCCTTAAGTCTCTCATCAACCAATCTCTCAACTAGTTCCGTCCAGTTGTTCTCTAACTACAGAGCCTCTAAGTCAGGGATCCAAAACTGAGATCAATGAATCCAAAGAGTCTTTATACAAAATTTACTGAATCTATGGAGGGGATGGGGAAGGGGGGAGCTACACCTTAAGATAATTAATCTTTGATATTTTCAATTATGAATTCAGGTAACAAATGATTGTAGTTTTAGCAGCACCTGTGACTTTATCATCAACAGAAATCATTTATTTTCACTTCACATCAGTTGCTGAAGTTCTCAAGATAATGTACACATCATTCAGCATCATCTTAATACACCTGCTGCTAGGCTGTATTTAATATAATATGTTGTAAAAAACACACAAATTTGCTTTTTAAATATTTTGATAACTTTCTCTCAAAATAACTGGTTTATTTGCAATCCTATACATTTTATTTATTTACAAATACTATCTGAAAAGTAGAGAATGGGCTTCAAACAGTCCAACAATTCCACAGCACACCAATGTTAAGAATTTTAAGATGTAGATCCCTCATTTGCTTTATTACTAAGTAATGAGAAGAATTAAAAGTTTGCAGCTTTTTACATGCCATAAAGCATATTATAAAAAAATGGACATCACTGATAATGAACATTCATTCTAATTTGTTTTAACTCTTAAAAAGCATTCAAAATGTGATCTGCAACTTCATACAAATTATCTGGTTAAAAAATATAATGCTCTCATGCAAAACATGAAGGCACAAGGTAACTATAAAAATGTTTTAAGACCATGAAATGTCTTATAGAGAAACTGTTTACACATCTTAAGGAGACTGATCATAAACAAAGTACTATTTACCATTTCTCTTTTGGAAAATTTTTTAAAATTTCTTTAATGATTGGCTGGTAGCAGGCATCTCTTTCTGCTTTCCCAGTTTCACTCCAGTCTCTCACAAACTGTTTCAATGTAGATTTTAATTTATCCATGTCAAATGTAGATGCTGGCATAATCTTCCCATTCCCCTGTTTAAAAAACAGAAATTAATTAGGTACTGAGAATCAATTTTGAATAGGGTAAATAGGCATACTACTAAGGGGCTATATGGTTGTTTAATGGATAAATCACTAGCCTCTCACCTCAATGGGGTTCAAGTGCAGCTTGAGATCCTAAATGAAAAAGAGTTTGGTGGTCTCACTTCTACCCTCAATAGCTTAAGGTTCATTAATCATAAAACCACAATATAATTAAGCAGTCTTTACTCAGGAGAGGACCAGAACTGAGCTGCTATGGAGACCGAACATCCTATCTTCTAAGAGAGGGAAGAAAGTCCCTCCAGGTCATTGATGGGGCAGCATGGAGAGGCTCACCCTGGAGTGGCCCAACTGTATCTATCCTGTGGATACAAAAAGAGGACTTCAGTTTCTATTACTGCCAGTCCCTTGAGATTTAAGTGAAAATAATTTCTAAAATAAAAGATGAATACCAATAGTTACAAGATACTGAAAAAAAATTAGTTTAGCAAGGGAAATTAATTTTAGTTAGCTAGAAAAGTCATTTATAAAAATTAAAGTACCTAACCTCATATGCCAGAACATTTAAAACACTATGTCAGAAGTATATCAAGGGCTGGGGTTGTGACTCAGCGGTAGAGTGCTCACCGAGCATGTGCAAGGCCCTGGGTTCGATCCTCAGCACCACATAAAAATAAATAAAGGTATTGACAACTAAAAAAAAAAAAAGTATATCAAAATGCCTAGTATTAAAAAAAAAAAAAATCAGTGAACAAATCTAGTCTCTGGCATACTGCTCTATTAAGCCAAATCTAATGACTCGACATAGAAATGAAAACATTCCCTAAGTAGAGCAAATGACATGTACAAGATTATAAAATTGAAATATAGAACGATAACCTAAAGACCTCAAAATATAGAAGTTAAACCCTAAAATAAAAGCAAGTAGAACAAACTTTCACATACATCTTCTCCATATTCTTTATTTTCAAACATATGTATGCAATCATTCACAATGGTCAGTAGTATTTCTTGATTATGATCAATGCATTTCCGAATCTTGTCCAAGTGAAGAATAAACTGAGGAAGTAGTTTCTGTTGATTATCTGGAAGTGATCGAAACTGTCTTTCTGTTCGGTTCACTCGCTCATGCATACTGGTGCTAAAACATAAAAGGTGTTTTTTAAATTGGCAAAAGAATTCTCATCAGAGGCCAATCTTATTTTTTAAGAATGTCTTTCTATATAACTATTCCCTTATTATGTTGCGTACTGTTCTATCATTTACCTCATGGCTTCTTAAGGAATATCAACTTAGAAATTTTTGTACATTTTTACTTCATTACAAATCCTACATAGAGCAATGAAACAAAATGCTTTAGATCTAGTAAAATGCTTTATATCCAGCAACAAATGCTTTACATCTAGTAAAAGTAAATATCGTCACCAATTAGAAGGGAAAAAAAGGAAACAAATAGCATTAATGTTCAATTAGTTTTATGACTTTGATTTTTAAAGTTAATATTTTAGCAAATCAAATGAATGCCTTAGATTCTTCCATCATTAAGTAGCAAAATACTGTTGTGAAAATATTTTATAATGGGCTAGGGACTTAGCTCAGTGATATAACACCTGTCTATCATGCACAAGGCCTTGAGTTCAATTCCCAACCCAGCACACACACACACACACACACACACACACAAGCACAAAATATCTTAGAATATACTGAAAATGTAGTTTGAAACTAACAAAAAGTTAACCAAGCCAGGCGCAGTGGCACACGCCTGTAATCCCAGCAACTTGGGAGACTGAGGCAAGAGGATTTTGAGTTCAAACCCAGCCTCAGCAACTCAGTGAGACCCTGTCTCTAATAAAATATAAAAAAGGGCTGGGGATATGCTTGGTGGGTAAGGATCCCCTGAGTACAATCCCTGGTACCAAAAAAAAAAAAAAAAAGAAAAAAAGAAAAGCTAATCAAGTTGATTTTGAAAAATATATGGAGTCTTACTACAAAAATATTAAGCAAATGTAAAATTTGAAATTTTACAGGGTTTCATATGACATTATTCATAATGTGTATTCCAAAAGTTTCCAAATAAGTTTAATAGTCACTTTGGGAATTACTTATTAAAAATAGGAATAAAAAATAGAAAATATAATTTTTAAAAGTTAAAATATACACTCACAATGAAATGTCACTTTATATCAACCCAGATGGGTAAAATGTAAAAACCCGACTATATCAAATGTTTATATAAAACCAAACAATATATCGCTTAAGGACTGAACTTATATGAAAAAAACTATAAGGAAATCAAAAAATTAAAATTCAGGAACATTCTTTGAGGGAAATAGGGATAGGACATGAGGATTCACTGCATTGTTCCTTATATTTTCTAGATACAAAATATCTTAAATGTTTGTTGTCATTTACTCACTACTAAATGAATACGAAAAATGCTTTTTTCACTTGGTTGCCTTAATCTTTTTCTCTGTTCATCGAAACAACTCTTGCATTTTTACCTTTATATGCCAAATTACTAAACAGTAATAAAGAAGTTCAGAAGTTCTTGACAAAATCTGGCCCTGGTTTTAGAAACTTATGTGTAGTGTATATAGTAGCTACACTGCTATTGCCTTTTTTCCCCAGGAAACAGTATAATAGTGAGCTTTGAAGTCAAACATTATCTGTATTGAAATCAAGGTTATGTCACCCATTTGCTAAGTGACCCTGGTTGAGTTACTTCCTTCCTTTGTGCCAACTGTCTCATCTAAAACAAGATAATAAATAACAACAATGATGATGATCATACAAGCTACCATTTGTGGAGCTTTAATAAATGCCAGGCACTATACCAAGTATTTAACTTACATTAATCTGAAAAAAATCTTCACAAAAACCCCATGAGGTGGATACTCCTCCATCTACCCCAATCTGTTTCATTGAAAATGGAACTAATGCATGCAAAACCTAGTAAACATTCAAAAATTAATAGGCACATCTAATTTATATAACCAACATTCACTTGTGAAAATCTAAAAAATGCAGAAAAGCAAAACTATTCGTGAAAACAAGGTTAATAAATAACTCCATCTTCTAGTGGAAAACTTTTGGCATATTTGTTTGGTTGTTAAAACAAAGTCATCTAGCTCCTTTTTAAAAAATGGAATATTGAAATCTAATTGGGTATATTTATGGGGTTAAAAAGTGATGTTATACATGCACATAGTGGAATGATTAAATCAAGCTTATTAACATATCTGTCACCTCACCTACTTAATACTCCTCCTGTCTAACTGAAACACTGTATTCTCTGACCAAAATCTCCCCCATTTTCTCCAACCCACAAGTCTGTCTGTGGTAACCATTCTGTTCTCTATTCCTGTAAGACTACTGTAAATAAGTTATGTCTCTCTGTGGCTGGTTTATTTCATTTATCACCTTTCTACTTAAAATCCCATACAAACAATAGAAGATCACCTGGAAATGGTAAGGAATGCAGAATCTCAGGCCCTGCCCAAGACTTACTGAGTTGCAATCCGCCAAATTTCACAAGTGATTCATATGCACATCAAAGTTTGAGAAGAACATGTAATTCTTCATCCTTATCAAAAGAATTTTCCCAGATTAGGAAAAAGTTCTCCTATATACCATGATTCTAAATAGCCTAGTAAATCTTGGTTGCTAAATAATTATTTCCCAGCTACTGGGCATTTAGATACTTTTGTCTTTATGACAACAGGTTTGAAAGTCTCGTCAAAACTCATGCTGTAATCCCCATGAGAGGCAGAAAGAGAGTGAATTATGGTATCTGGAGGTGGGAACCTTGGGAAGTAATTAAGGTTAAATGAGGTCATAAAGGTGGAGCCCTAATCCAATGGGATTGTGGCTTTATAAGAAAAGGAAAAGAGACTTTAGCCAAGTCCCAGTTCCTTTCACCATGTGATGCTTGCCATTGCCTCTGGGGCTCTGTGGACTGCCATCAAGAAGGACCTTACTATCTTGAACTTCCCAGTCTTCAACACTGTGAACTATATGCTCTTTTTCATGTAAATTACTCAGCCTGAGTAATTCAGTTAAATTCAGAAAATGGATAAAGACAATCTTTTAGAAAAATCAGCATAAATTACTAAAAATAGAATTAACAGGTCTGAAATAATAAATATTTTTTAAGACTATACAAAATGATTTTCAGAAAGATTGTATCAATTTACATTCTTATGTATTTGACTTCAATAGGCAAACGGCAGAGCTGCAACAGTATAAAATTCACTGTCTGGGTGGGAAGAAGGGAAGGAAGAAGTGTTGGGGAGTGATACTAGACAAATTATATTGTTAAATTGTGTGCATGTGTGAATGTTTTTTAAAAAACGATCATTATATATAATTATAATGCACCAATAAAAAAATGTGGAAAGAAAAATAAATTTAAAACTTAGTGATAGCCCCCCCCCCAATAAAATTTACTGTCAACCAGGTTAAAATGTCTTCAGAACACCCTTTCAATAATTCCTCACTTCAATCCCCAGTACCATCAAACAAAACAAAACAAAACATGAAAACTATATTGGGCTGAGGCTGTACCTCAGTGGAGACTGCTTGCCTAGCATGTGTGAGGCACTGGGTTTGATCCTTACCACCATATAAAAAAAAATAAAACAAAGGCATGCTGTCCATGTATAACTACAAAAAAAATCTTTTTTTTTTTAAATACTTATATCTAAAAAGAATTCCTTGCCAACAAGATGCTCCCAACCTTCCTCTCGCCATTCTCAAAATACAACTAGGCATGGGGATACAGTTCAGTGGTAGAGTGCTTTCCTAGCATGCATGAGGCAGACCCCAGATTCAATCCCTACTATCTAAACAACAAAAACAACTCCTAACCAAAATGATTTTAGCCCAGGCCTACGAAAACTTGGATTCCTTTCTATACAGCAAATATTGATGAATATACACCATAAATATACCCATCACAGTCAAAGGTGTCATCATCTCCAAATCTTAGTCACAGCATCAACAAGCTCAAACTTTCTGACTCTACTTCACAAAGTTATCTGCAAATTACTCTACCTCTAATGCTCCATCACAGGCCCCATTGTGTCTCCCAAAGATTACTGAGAATCCTGCTACCCAAGAATACTGTCCCCAAATGCACACTGCCCCAACATAAGTCCTCTTTGACCCTCTCTCACCACTTCTAATCCAATAAATTCTTCTAAAATACAAGTCTCATTTTGTCACTACTGAATTTCTATATTTCAGCATACTTAAAAAGTAGTCAATAAATGTTCAGTTACCCTCCCAAGACATTTTTTGTTCTCCCTGGAAACTTATTACTATGGTTGCAGATGAGGCGAGTTATGCTGTCAATTTTCTTCATATAGAAGTAAAGAAAATACAGGGCAGGATGAGATGCAGGATAATCCTTAACCCCTGGTTACTTGTTACAGTCTAGATATGAGGTGTTCCCCAAAAGCTCCTGAGTTAATGCAGGTGAAATGATCAGATTATGTCAGCTATAACCTAATTATTATTTGTCCATCATATGGGGCATTTATCCCTCTGATGGACAAATAATTTAAAAGGATCAACTAGGTGGTAACCATAGCAAGTGGGATGTAGCCAGAGGAGGTATGTATCTGAGGGTGTGCCTTTGGGTTTACATTTTTGTATCCTTGGTTCCTCCTCCTCCTCCTCCTTCTTCTTCTTTCTCTTTCTCTCTCTCTCTCTCTCTCTCTCTCTCTCTCTCTCTCTCTCTCTCTCCTTCCTAGCCACCATGAGCAGGTTTTTACTTCTATACCCTTCGGCCAGGATGCTTTAATGTCACCTGGGGCCGGAGTGATGAAACCCACCAACCATGAGCTAAACCTCTGAAACCTGAGCCCAAATAAACTTTTCCTTCTTTAAGTTGTTCTTGTTAGGTAATTTGGTTACACTGAAAAAAAGCTTACTAACACACTAATGATGTGCAAACCTGCCCGAAAATACACTCAAGGACACTCTTAAAATTGGTGGTGTCTGGACTGAGGAACAGTTCAGTGAAAGAGCATATGTTTAGCACATGCAAGGTCCTTGGTGGCATCTTATAGGAACATAAGAACATAGTATCCTTATTATGCTATTGTAATTGAAGCTAACTTCATTATACTGGAAATACTTATGTTATGGCCCACTGGCAACTTGGTTGCCTCTGACTGGAACACAGCCAAACCCATTTATTTATGTTCCTTCCATGCAAGGGCAGAATCCCCAATAGTTGTACAGAGACTTTTTTTTTAGTTGTGGATGGACAATACCTTTGTTTTATTTATTTTTAAGTGGTGCTGAGGATTGAACCCAGTGCCGTAAATGTGCTAGGCAAGTGCTCTACCACTGAGCCACAATACCAGCCCCTGCCCCTACCCTGCTTTAAAGGAACAGTTACAAACAACAGACTCCTTGGTTCTAAACCAAGCATCAGAAGTCCACACCCATGAATGAAAAGATTATTGCTGCCCTTTGATCTTTATTCTAAATCTTTTACACATTCACTAAAAGAAATTTTGCAATAAAACCAAACACTTCAAAATGTGAAATTGCTATGGGTCTAAAACAGGACTAGGAATCAGAATTTAACTCAATGATAAAAAGATTTCCATACACAATCCAATACAGCCGACACTAGCCATGTATAGCTACTAAGCATTTGATATAAGGCCAGTAAGACAGGGCAATTAAGTTGTAAATTTTATTAAATTTTAATTAATTTAAGCTTAAATTTAGTCAGATATAATTAGTGACTGCAGTATTAGACAGTACAAGTCTACAATACCATTAAAATATTGGAATCCAGAGTGTTTTCTGCTACACAATGCTTTCCATATTCCTCACTTCTAAATGATATTTTTTAAAGCATATTTTTGATGCCATACTATTTTTCAATCCAGGGACTTGAAGTATTTCATGCAGAGAGTGCATGCAAATAAAGGGTTTTTTTTTTTTTTGATAAATGAAATTGTCCTCAATCCCACATTAATCTGGTAAAGAAGAAAGGTGAGTGCAGGGAACAGAATCACAACTACTAGTACATGCACACAGAACCATTTTCTATATATTGCCACACTTAAGACTAGTTCCAAGTGAAAGTCCTTCACCCCAAAGGCCCAAACAATACCTAATAATAAATATCAGTCCTAAATTAGTTTTAACATATTTAAACAGGGTGTAATTACTCAACATTTAACCAATTAAGTCTTCTAATTTCAAGATGTTTCTCAATATTCTTTATTTATTTATTTGGTGGTTGAACCCAGAGGCACTTTATACCACTGAGTGATATTCCTAGCCCTTTTCTTTAAAAAATTTATTTTGAGACAGGTCTTGTTGTCAGGTGAGCCTCAAACTTATCATCCTCTTGCCTCAGCCTCCCCAGTCACTGGAAGTATAAGCTTGAGACACACTGCCCAGCTTATAGATATTTCAATAGTAAAATGAATCAGATTTTTCTGCATCCATCACTCAACTACCTAATGTCAGCTGCTTCCTCTCATGGTATAGAAATTCTAGGCACAATCTTGTAACAAATCTCCCCTCTCTGGTGTTCAGGCTTCCTCCCTTGATTGCTACTCAATCTGGAGAAATGCCCAAATTTTCTTTTGGGTTCTCCAAGCAATACAGCCCCAAACCCTAGATTTAATCAGTCTTTTTTTTTTTTTAGTTGTCAATGGACCTTTATTGTATCTATTTATTTGCACTACTGAGAATCAAACCCAGTGCCTCCTCACACATGCTAAGCAAGCACTCCACCACTGAGCTACAATCCCAGCCCCAGTATATTATTTTATCAAGACCTTTGAGCTTTGTGTCAAAAGGGATGAATGTAGCTCAGTGGTAGAGTATGTATTTAGCATACTCAAGGCACTGGGTTCAATCCCCAAAAAACCTGTTGTAAATGTATTGGCTCTTAAATAACTTTTAATAAAAGCAAGCATCTGAATTCAGAATAGTAACAAACTAGTGTAACCATTAGCCAAAAATTAACAAGACTATTTCAGAATGATTAATGTATTTCTTTGCTACTATATTTTATTTGTTAAGAACAGAACCTTAAAACGTTATTTGCCAAGCACAAAAATAAATAAGGCTCAGTCCCTGCCCTTGAGGAGGTCACTAGTTGAACTGTAATACTAATGGGATGAATACTAAAAAAAAAAGTTTGTACTGCACAGCAAGATCCCATCTGAGTTTACTTCCTAAGAAGTCTTATCTATCTGGCTCCATTGAAGCCAGATAGGTGGAGTCTCATATCACTTATGAATAAATGTGTTATCTTTACCTGAAAATCCAGTTGATCCAAGTCCCTCTCAGATCTTGGAATTATAATTTTGTGATTAAGCTATTTTAACGTCTATCTAGAAGAAAGGTTAAAGTTAGGAAGTCGTATTATGAATGAGGAACATATAGGTCCTACCACCATGCCTAGCCCACGAAGAGAATTTGATACAAAATTTCAGAATAAAAGAACATAATGCTGGCTCTTTCGGCGCTTTTTCTCATCTCCCTTACTAAATTAACAAATTGTGGATATAAGGAATACCTCTGCAGACCAGTTAAGAGTCATTGAGCGGCATCATTCGATCGCTCACCATAGAAGTGCATTTAGGTTAACAACAAGGAGGAGGGTGAGGGTGAGGGTGAGCTGGAAATCTGTTCTTACAATAATTGGCTACAGTTTGGGAAAACAAGTCTACGGCATCCTGTATCCCACGTGTAGGTGAACTTGCACTCTCCATACGTTCAGTTTGGAAGATATCGAAAACAAATACCATATCATGCTTTGCACTGGGCAATTTTTCCACTATCCTCTTCTATCTGAAACTGTGGCCACAGCACATCTAAGGTCACCCCCAAAGCCGAACCTTTAATGGGGAGCCGAAGGCAGAAGAGCTAATCTGATCTTGAGGTCAGGAGACACCAGGCTGAGCAATAGGACGGCGCGGCACCACACGCGGGTATGCAGGGCTGGGAGGGGCTAGGGTGGTGTGAGAGGACTCCGGCGCTGGGGTCAGCTCCGGCAGCCGGGTCGAAGGACCCGACGCGCTGGGCCGGGGTCCGCCACGGGCTCCTTACCCGTAGTAGCGGAAGGCATTAATGATCTTCCAGAAGTGCTCGCGCTCAAGCCTCTCCTCCTCCTCCTCCGTGCTGCGCGCGGCTGCCGCCACCGAAACCGCAGCGGCCGAACCCAAACGCCCGGCGGAGAACTGCACTTCCACCTCCTCGCTTCCACCGCGGCCGCCGCTGCCGCTGCCGCCGCCGCCTCCCCCGCAGCTCTCGGGCAGCTGAGAGGCCGGCGGTGGAGGGCGCCGCCGTCGCTGCATAGCTGCCACGGCCCTCGGCCTGGCTCGCTTGCGTCTCGCTGCGACTGAAAGCGTGGTGGCGGCTGCCCGGCCTTCCTCTAGACGGCGCCCGCTGCGGACATGCCCCCAGCTCGCGGCGCGCCCCGCCCCCGCCGCCCTCAGGCCTCCATCCGCGCTGGGCTCCGCCAGGTCTTCTGGAGTCCTGGAACATGCGCGCAGGCGCATACGAGGGTACGACGGTGGACTGTGGCCGCCTGCGTTCATTTGCTGCCGGGCTTCGGCGACGACGCGCTGACGTCAGGACGACGTTTCCAGGGGGCGGGACTATAAGCCAGGTGGAGGAGTTGGGTGGGACTTGAACAGCTGGCACCTGTGAGCGTCCGCGTGGGCGGACCTTAATTAAGAGCCTGCCAGGGCTGGATTCCGGAAAAGGCAAGTTAACTCAGGCTGAGGTACTAGCAAGTAAAGGAAGAGGAACGAGAACAAGTTAGATTTTGAATTTAGTTGGAATTTGTAATTCAAAAAGTCTAAAAGAAAGGTTTTGCATTCATGTTAGTTTAAGTTTTAATGAACTTCCTAAACGAATTTCTATTAATTACATAAGCGTAATCGTTTTTCCAGTATTGAATGATCTGCAGTCCTGGGACCAGGCCGAGTTTGGGTGCAGCAGCCGGCACTTGTACTTCCAGTTGCTGGAGGATCCCAAGTTGGAGGTCAATCAGGGAAAAATAGCGAAATCATGTCTCAAAAAACAAATAAAGCAAAACATAAAGTCCTAATTTTGTCCTAGCTGGTGATGCTGAAACCTAATTCTGTTCAAAACCAGTGCTTGAGAAGACCATCACACCCAAAAACATCTAAAAGTGGCTCCTAGCAATAGTAGATCTGACCTAACCTCTTTGAGTTCTTTTTTCTTTTCTTTAGTTTTGTGAGGATGGCCTTAGGCCTAAGCCTAAGCAACTCCATTTTAAAACTCCAGTTTGAAACCTGCAGTCTCACCAGGCAGACCCACAGAGCCCTCTAGTTTGGCCTCAAACAAGTTACTTCCTTCATTCTGATAAACAGAGTGAAGCCTCTGATAAGAGGGAAAAGGGAGAAGATCAGGGTGGAGACCACCAGACCAGATGTTTCTGATCCCAAGGTAAATGATGTCATGGAGAAATCTGGTGGTAGCTGATAACGATTGAAAGGGGGGCTCAAAAGCCCCCCAAATTTAGTATAAATAATAGAGCTAATGAACAGGGATTCAGCCAGCCAAGACAAGGATGCACTCGCGCATCAGGAGAGCCTGATGAGGACCTGGACTGACATGCCAATACTTGTCATCATTTCCTGATCCTCTGTGTGATCCTCACAGCTCTCAAACTCTGCTGCCTCATCTGGACCTTTTTCCCAACAACCCTGTCCTCAACCAGTCTTTGTCCCCTCCACACCAGGAAAAGCCTGCCTTGGTTCCAGACCTCACCTGGGTCTGAGTGAGTGTGCATCTGCTGGACATAAAGCCTAAGGCTTGAGATTTTTTAATTTAGCATGCAGAGGGAATGTCTGTCACTAGCACTGTTTGCAGTGCTTAAAATTAATCTAGAATTGTTTGCTGTGAATTGATTATGTCTATTGCAGTGCCAGCATTAAGGATTGTCATTTTCTTGATTAAGAACCTATAGAGTGGAATTATATTGAGTAATTTGAGTGAATAAAGCATTGAAAGGGGCAAAAGCACAGGGACATTATTTCTCCCCTCAACTACATACGTCTCAATTTTGCCCCCTTGCAGCAATTTTTATTTATTTATTTATGCTTAATTTCTTCTATAGCTCAATGCTAAAATGAATGTCCTACTTGATTTGATGTTATTTTTAGGAAATAACTATTCCTTTAAATTTAAGGCACCACCTAGAAAATCACTGCTACAAAATAATAATAAAAAGATTGTTTTATTCAGAAGAGTTAAATATGTCCATATATCCTAAAGTCTGTTAAAAAGGTATAATTATATTGAAAGTAAAGTGGCTTCATATTTTCATGATTGAAATTAATATTGGACATAAAGGCAATGACAAAAAAGATTTTTGAAAAGTGGTAATCTTAAATTTTATGTAAGACTTTTCTAAAATGTCAGTCTATTTCCAGGCCCAGTAGTGTAGACATATAATTCTAGTAATTTAGGAGGCAATGACAAAAGGATTACAATTTCAAGGCCCTCCTGGGTAACTTAACAAGACTCTGTCTCAAAATAAGAAAATAAAAACTGCACAAGGTGATACACACCTATAATTCTAGTGGCTGGGGATACTGAGGAAGAGAGAATGGCAAGTTCAAGGCCTCAAAGAAAAGATTACCAACTCCAATTTTAAATCAAACTAAAGCAAGCTTGTATTTATGTACACAAAAGGTGGCCAGCAACTGTCTCACCCGAAATCCCAGGCCAGAGAACAGCACCCGAGCCCTCTAGGATATAGCACAAAAAGCTGCATAAAGGGAGTGTCTTGAGAATTTATAGATAACAGGATTTTGACAAGCATAATTCAAAGGCAGATAAACTGTTGAACAGTTAGAGCTCATACATTTTATATATTGCTGATGGGAATATGAAGATGTGCTGGAAAATAATGCAAAGCAGGAATTCTATGCATTGGGTACCAATTTGTCTTGAGTCTGGTGAGATAGAACACTTAAATGTACAACAAGTTAATGAGGCTGATTTATTATTTACAGATAGCCATCAAGGGACAACAGAAGCCTAGCATTCATTGTGATCTGGTCTCCCAAGGGTCAAGAAAACTGCCCAGGTAGGATGGAGTCTCATTTGTACATATGTCACCTACATCACAGCTGAGGGACCCTGAAAATCATTCCACCCAGGGGCCACATGACACATCATGCTAAAATGTTGAAGGGCATCCTGTTTCTAGACGATTGGAACAGAGCCCAGGCTGTTGCATTCAGTCCCTTCAGGGCTGTTGCATTCCCTGCAGATTCTACAGTTATTCTTGAGAACCACAAGTGAGAAAGGGGAGAGAACTAGATTGGTCTAGGTCCTTCCTGAGAGATGTCCTGCAAAGACTATCGTAGTTTCTTAGAAAACTGAATGATAGACCAGGTGCAGTGGTACAAAACTGTAATCCCAGTGACTCAGAAGGCTGAGGCAGGAGGATCACAAATTCAAGGCCAGTTTGGGCAACCTGTGAGATCCTCAACAACTTAGTAAGACCCTGCATCAAAATTTAAAAATAAGGACTAAGAATGTAGCTTAGTTGTTAAGCACTCCTGGGTTCAATCCCCAGAACAAACAAGTGAATGAACAAACAAAATACAACAACCAAATACAAACTTACCATACAACTAGCAATTGTACTCTTAGACATTCAGTCCCTTGGGCATATAATGGATATCTTATTTAACTGCTTTGAGGATGAGAATCAAGTCTTTTTATGCCTCCCACAACTTGTTTATAAGTAAGTACTTAATACACCTTCAAGTTTCTTAATTTCAATTTTCTTCTTAATAGTGAGTTTGATAAAAGGTCTTTATTACTAAGATTTTTTTGGAAGCTACTCAACCTTGGTCATGATTTTTAGTTGCAGACAACACAATCTTCTTTAGCTAGTTTAAGCAAAAACTGATCAATATTAGGAAATTAAGACTAAAGAATTTCCTGGAAGACCCAGGAACCAAGCTCAAGTGTCATTCAGGAACAACACAGCTATACCTGTTGGGTTTTTTAGAGGGGGTCAGGGTTACCAGGGATTGAACTCAGGGATACTCAACCACTGAGCCACATTCCCAGCCCTATTTTATATTTTATTGGAGATAGGGTCTCACTGATTTGCTTAGCACCTCCCCGTTGCTAAGGCTGGCTTTGAACTCACAATCCTCTTGTCTCAGACCCCTGAGCCACTGTATACCTGTTGTTTCTAAGGAAACTTTTTCATGGCCACCAATGCACTCACTGCCCACTATGCATTAATTACAGTGTTAAGAAACAGACAGTAAAACCTGTCGTGTAATTACCATGGAAGAACCAAATGCTTCCTCATAAGATCCAGTTTCCCTATACGTTGCTGCCACCTCATTGTCCTCACTTCTTCCAAGTTAGAAACTTAAAGGGAAGTTTATAGATGCAGTTTTTATCTTTCTAATTTCTAAGATAGAATAAAGCAAGCTAGAAAGTTGAAGGAAGTATGTTCAATGAGTTAATCCACAGTAATTGCCAGATTATGTCATTGATTAGTGTGTCACTAACTAACACTGTCTTCTGCTTTGGTTGGACATGTCCAGTATAGAAGCGGAAATGCAGTATAGGAGCAAAAAAAACAGATTTGACTTAAGATGTTGCCTGTGGCACACCAAGGTATATGACCTTGAGCAGGTCATTTAACTTACTTGGACTCACTGTCTTCATCTATGAAAAGACACAATGGGATTGAGGCCCTGGGTTCGATCCTCAGCGCCACATAAAAATAAATAAATAAAATATTGTGTCCAGTTACAACTAAAAAATAAATATTTTTTTTTAAAAAATGATTCTTCTGGCTCTGATAGTCTGACTCGAAGACAATTTTACAGATAAAATCCTTTTTTTTCAGCAGTCTTTTTCTTCAGAACATGCCCTGATAACAATATTTATATCTGCAGTTTTCTGTATTTAGTTGCTTCTCTTTTGCTCTGAATTTATCTATTACTTCCTAAATTGCCTTGGTATCCAGTATAGATTTGCTGCAGCCGTTTCCAAAGCTGATCTTTCCAACAGGTGTACAAGTGATGAACATGATGAACAGGAAAGAAAGAAACTCTGCTCTAGTGTCTGAACAGGAAGCCTCAACTTGTTCTTCTACTTTAGGTTAAGCAATTCACAGAAACACCCTTTAGTCTTTCCCATCATACCAACACAGTTACTGCCTCATTCTTCTCAAAGGTGTTTCATAATCAGTAAATGTTTGTAAATAAAAGCTTTGAAGTCTGTAGGTCAACTCATCTATTAGTCCTAAGTATATTTTTATTTGCCTCACATTCCCCAGGTAGATACCTCATTGAAATTTTGTAAGTATATATTTTGTTGATTACCTTTGTTGATTACCTTTTAACAGACTGTTTTGTCTGCTTCAACTCTAAGTTCTTTGAGGGTGGGAAGCCCA